GTCTCATGTAACACATCCTACATGTGCCTACATCTTACAAATGATACACTCTATCCAATCTTCTTTATCTGTATCTGTGTAAGCTTCACCACATACCAGACAATACCACTCTTCTGATTCAGATTCTGAATCTGAACATAAAATCTTCTTTTTAGCTCTACCCACTCCGATTTTATTATTTGTTGATTTGTCTTTGGCTTTTCCCTTCCCCTTCCCCTTCTTTTCCCTTTTCCTTTAATTTTATGATCTTTTTCTGTTTTTTTCTTCATTTTTTCTTCACATTCCTTTTGTAAAGCTTCCTTTTCAGGAGTGTTCGTCAATACTGCAGATTTTCTTTTGCGTCTGTTATTTGTTTTAGTTTTTCTTGGTGGCGCTTTTGGTAAAGGTCTAATCTTCGATGGCGAGAAAGTTTTTTGTAGACTTTCATTATTCTTCTTTTTCTTTATGTATCTATAAAGAGAGACGTGACATAATCTGAAAGTCTGACTAGCTTTCCGAATACTGCATTTTTTTTTCTAAATCTTCAGCTGCCGCTAACTCATACACTTCTTGGCTTTGTGTTGACCGCTCTGACTTTCTTTAATACACCCTCATTCTAAAACAAAGGAAAAAAGTAGGTATCTACATCATAACTTGGGGCATGTTGTAACACGTTACAACAAGCCCCGGGATTTTGTTACAACTAACCCTATGGTATGATTTTTAACATTTATTAGGATAACTATTTAAACAATTTAGCAATCATAATAACTGTTACACATTATCAGAGATAGATAAATTTGAATGGAAATAAGATATAGAAAACTTAAAATTAGTCGATATCAAAAACGCAAACCGAAATTTTACTACAGTACAATTTTATATTACCTGGCAGAAATGAAGCGCGTGCATACTTCCGCTCACTGCGCGTGCCGGTGGGACACGCCGTATGGTAACATGATGCGGCGCGGTTTATAGGTCAAATCTAGTCAAAGAAATACGTTAATAGCGTTTAAGATCCTAGTGAAAAGAGCCTGTTACTACTTACCCCTGTTACAACAAGCCCCTCGCTCCCCTACTGTCCGTTACTCTTGCTACAATTCGAAATCGACTCGACTGACTTTGATGAAAAATTTTGTGTGTGTTTAAGTGTGTCCCTTGATAGCTTAGATACACATTAGGACCCGGTAGGTGGCGCTGTTGTCAAGATCCACAAATCACCCGTGCGAAGCCGGGGCGGATCACTAGTATAAAATGAATATGTTCACACACTCATTCTTGCTGGTTAAAATGCCACATCAGGCCACATTTTGAAATTTGTGAGGAAATAAAATAGTTCAAGGACATACCTACCTAATATGAAGTTCGGCAACACGCACTGGTTCAGGGTAGCGGATAATTTTGTCCATAATCCCTTCAGAAATGGTAGGAGGCCTTGGCCCATCTATGAAATTGACATTTTTTAAACGTTACCCCCACTACACACTAGGCTTTTCTCCTGTATCGTGGAGGCAGTTTACGTACACAAATTGCACAAGGACAAACATCCAGACCCGGAACAATTATTTGTAAGCCCTACAAATAGGTACTTGTTCCGTGCAGGATTCGAACCTGCGGCCCTCAGCGCTGTAACTCATTGCTAAGCTACTGCGCCACGGAGCCCTCGGCTATATCCTATCGGCTATAACTTAAGACAATATTTACTTGAGAGAGTTCTTATCTATCGATCTATTACACCAATCGCACTTCTACTTAGTAAAATCCAATTCTAAATAACCATGATCTGAACAGAAATGTCATTCGGAATCAAAGTTCGGAAGCAGCAATCCGGTTGCAATGAAGTTAGTGCCAAAACTCCATCCATCTATTCTTAAAAATAGAATTTTTTTTTTCATTTATTACGGCATTAGTTATACAGACATCGGCCAATACTTAAAATATCTATTTGTCGCAGATTCATTTTTTTTTCATGGATAAACAAATAACTTACTCAAAAATAGAAATTGTGATTTCAAAAGCAGAGTCAATTTACGACCAAACGCTTTACGCTACCTTACCTAGGTACGTTTTCTATTGCAACGAAATTCAATTACACCTCGTCATTGAAGACTGTTTGTCCAATAGTGGACAATGGCCACCATTAAAGGATTAAAATTCCTTTAATAAATACTTGACGCCTGTCCAGCTGCATCACTATTGTGTCAATATTTCTTAACTTCGAAGAAAATATGACTGCGTTTTTATAATATTTTATTTTGTGCTTATTAATAAATACATTCAATCTGAAATATTAAAGTCCTTGTCCCTTAATACAATATAGCTTTCTTGTCAATTAACTTTATTTTTAACTGGCAACCATTCCCGGCTTTGTCTGGGTAAGATCTATTAATGTGGCGTCATTAAGATTTAAGATAATCAAAAAATTTGAATAAAATTCTTCAAATTTTTTGATGAAATGTAGGCTAGATCTCGCCTGGCATTGCACTCGATCTGTTCGTAAAGTTTCCTCACAATGGATTCAGCCATTCCGAAGTTTAACTCGGACAGACAAACAGACAAACAAATGTTTTAGAATGGTTATTTAAGTCAGTTATTTCAATGCTATAAACAGATACTTGTAAGTATATATAATAAAGGTGGTTTTTTAAGAAATCCTTTACCGTAGCTGCTTTGTATTTGTGGAACTCTTTACCTGTCCATATTCGTCGTGCTAAATCTCTTCACTCTTTTAAAAGTCTTGTTAAATCGCATTACTTAGAACGCTATTAGATTAATTACTTTTCCTTTATCGTACTCTTTTCATTTAATCTATTATATGATATTTTATACAAAATTTTCACTTATCTTTATTGTATGTATTTTCATATTTTTATTTTTATTTTGTACGCCCCCCTCTATTTTTTTAGCTACTGTTTGCATCAGTTCTCTACGCAAAGGTTGTCTGGAAAAAATGACTTTCAGAGTGATAAGACCGCCTATTGTACTTCTACTTTAGATTTAACTGTTCCCACTCGATGTTTTGTATTTTGGTGTACTTACAATAAAGAGTAAATAAATAAATAAAAGGTTATAAACAAATTAAATCAAATGTCGTACGAACTGATTCCAACCCCGACACTGGCTCAGTGTGTAGAGGGGGAGGCCTCATTACTTTTTCTGCCAAGTCAAAGAGTGACAACTAGTAACGTGGGCTTCTTCATTTCAACTTGGTGGATGATGTCTCTTGGTTTAAGCAACTTAATATCTTACTATCAAGTGGATAGCTCACTTACCATCGTAATTTCACACATAATTTTTTTTTATTAATTTTCTTAAAGGGAAACCTAATGTAACAGTACTGCGGACCCTCTCTGTTGTCCTACAGCGGAGTTTCCGCGTTTGTTATTGAAAAAATAACGGAAAAAGGCCAGCTCCCGACTTTATTTTAATTTTCACTTGTTTATGTTTTATTCTTACGGTATGACTTTTCTACCTTTATTTTACGGCATTAACAAGTTGAGTGGGCATTACTACCGGTCCTTTCACGTCTTTTTTGATACCTACTCCCACTCTCTAGACGTCACCCTGAACTCCTGGAAGACACATTTTGTTTCATACCACCTCGATGGTTAATAATCTACTGGTTAATTTGTACACAGATATGATTTAAAGACCATGAAAAAAAATGAAATTCATAGGCGGTGGTTACAAATCAACATCAGGTAAACCGCATGTCTTGCATACCTCCTTCTACAAAAAGTTACAAAATCAAGCAGACTATGCAAATTATTTAAAACTTTATGAATGGTTGCACTTGCAACTATCGCTGGTGTGGTCCTTGCATTACAGACAGCCGACACTGCACAATTTCGAAAAAAATGTCTTTGTAAACACTTAAGACTAATAAGTCTATTGTAGAATGTTCCTGCATTAGCATTGACGTAATACACGCATGATGAAGCAAAAAAGCTCGTCAAAGTGCGCCGGAAAGATTAGGTATCTACCTGTCTCAGCAATGCGTTGCGCCTATGGCTTTATATTATCGGCAAAGACCACCGAAATATATTTATCCGACACGGAAGGTATTTTTATGCACGTGAACTATTCTAGTACCTACTTAAACTACTTAAAATGCTTTCAAGTCCCCGTATAAGAATAATTTAAAACAAAATATGGCCATATAAATTTAACGACTCGATGCTTTTGGCTACTATGCTTTAATACGACGTCGTCGATTCGAGTCTTGCTAGGGACAAAATTAGTATAGTAACACAAATCTTGTTTCAAGTTTCAAGCGGTACAGGAAAAATTCCTAGTTTTCCGATTATGTTAGCTTATCTATGTTCCAAGTTTAAGGGCAACGTGTTTTTAAAACGAACAAAATATAAATCCATACTTAAACAAGTTTGACTATACATTTTAAAAGTTCTTTTTATATAACGGACATTCCTCCATGTCGTGTTGTAAAGAAAAGTATCTATGTATTAATCGTAGACAGAGAAAGTATTAATATAATACATATTGCGCCCTCTCTTGTTATAAAGAAAAATATTAATGTGATTAACTATTGCACGGTAGATGGCACTTTTAACGTGAAATATTACCATTATTCAAAAATGAATTTAAAATCCGAAGAAGTCTTGATCTTGAGTCCTTGATAAAGCATCAAAGCAAAAAATCTTATGCCAATTAAATGAATAATTTTATTAAGTATTTTTTAAATAGCTTAATTGATATGTATTATAATAACAGAGTGAAGAATGCGTTATTATCTGTAATCGGCCATTTTGGATTTTGATAATTTGACTGCTTTTCGAATTGAATTAAAAATATGTGTTTTAATTCTACCTACAATAAACAAATTTAAATTAATTGGTAGAACACGTCATTCAAATCGGCCTTCCGACGCCGCCACCGCAGCCCGCAGTGCCGTTCATAGCAAAAACTGGTCTAATAGTAGTCGTACGATCAGCTGTCACGGATCTTTGACGTGTTGAATACAAACAAATCTCATTTCGTCGGTTTGCTATGCTGTTGCGGCGATGAACGGTACGTTTTACGAGCAGCTAGGGGGTGTGGCCGGGATTTTTGAGCAATGGGGTACTTGTGAACGGACTGTGGTGGCGTGTGCACTGGCGCGTCGGGTACCTTGGCCAGGCTTAAAACTTGTTCAAAGAGCTGTGGAGGCTGCACTACAAAACCATGTAGAAGACGAACGCCTGGAGAGAGATGCAAATGACGAGACGCTGCTTGCCAGCTTACTGACTCCAAGGACTGACGATGATGACGACGAAGGTAAGTTGAGTCCTTCATTATTTTGAAGGTGGACAAGGACACAAACCTCAGACTTTTAAGCAAAAAAAATCTGCCAATGTGCCTTTAAAATATATATATATTATATATATATAATAAACAAGTTGTTGATAGCATAAACACTATAATTAATTCAGAAATGCAACATTGATTTCTGAATCATATGCAGTGTTTATTTATTACTTTATTGTATATATTTTATTAAAAGATGTAATATATTGTTTGTTTATTTATATAAATGGACGGAAGTAATTTATTACACTAATACTCTGTGATTTTCCTCTGTAATCTATAAATGTTATATGCTAGATTTATTAATTTATTATTGAAAGTGTCATAATGAGGCTGATTCTAAATGTCCCACAATATGAATGAATAATATTATTTTATTCATCTCGCTATATGCATTTTTTAATTGTTTAAACTAGAAAATTTTAAAATAAGAAACCTTGATTTACTTGGGCTCACATTGGTTGATTGATTGATTGATAGATGATTGGTTAGTTATTGTTATTGAGACTTTATTATACCTAGATATAGCAAAAAGAAACTTCCTACACTAATTTTCTTCTATACAACATGTAACAAAAACCCTGTGGTTCCCGTTAACTGCTTTAACAGAATCAGTATCCAAGTATATAGAAATAATTTTTTTCGAAAAAAAAACACATTTAAAGAAAATTAATTTTAATGAAAAAAAAATTATTTACAAGTTGTATGTGGTTTTATTATCTCTGTATTGGCCGAGGAGTAAGAGGATTGTCAAAGACCCCGCTTTACCAATAGTCGTGTGAGTTAGAGGAAATAAAACCACATACAATTTGCAAACTCATTTTTTTCTATGATATTAATTTTTTTTAAATGTTTTTTGAACAAAAATTATTTCTATATGCTTGGATACTGATTCCGATAACGCAGTTAATGGGAACCACAGGGTTTTTGTTACATGTTGTATATTTTTACTTACTTTCTTTAAATTCACAAGAACACTGCACATTATGTGGTAGAGTCATGTTACAACTATATAATGTTTGTAACACGAATGAGCCGACTCAACAGGGGTAGGACTATGCTCTCACAGAATAACATTGTAAAATAGCTGCTTTTATGTTGAACCAAAGACCTTTTTGACTAAAAAGAGAAAATCCATCTTAGTCTTCAGGGGTGACAACGCATTTGCATTTTGATTCTTAATTGAGGATAAATGTGGATGTCTATGGGCTACAGCATCCACTTACCATCTGTTAAGACTGTCCTAGTTCATCACCATTTTTTATAAAATAAAAAAATATCTAAAAAATACATTGAATAAAACTAATTTAACCTCTCAGTCCCCGAGTGGTCGAATCTGACCTCGGCGCTGTTCCATCAAAATCCAAGCGGTTTATTATAGCGGGTACTTTAAACCATTAAAACTTATATTTAGGGACTACTTTTTTATGAAGAAATTTGACATTATAGAATCAATATAAAATTTTCTATCCCCTAGTGCAATAAAAAATCAAGTTATCCTATGGATATTTATTTATATTCTACATTCATTTTGTACACCATTTTCGTGTGAATGTTATTGTGTTGATTTTTGGATTTTTATAGTGTTTTATTAGTGTTTTAGTATAGTGTTTTATTATAAAACTGTAATGAAAGTTTTTGTGTGAATGTAATTTATGTTTTAGGTAAATAATTTCAAGTGATATATATTGAAATAATTGTGATTTTCGCGCTGCCAACATTCGCTTGGTATGTTTTGTTTTTGTTATCAAAATACCACAACTTTTTGTAATGAAGTAATACCTGACTTTTATATAAAGAATTTTGTATATATTTTATAATGCCAAACTTCTTCATAGAAAAGTAGTCTCTAAATATAAGTTTTAATGGTTTTAAGTGGGTGGGTGCGGTCGCATGCGACCGCTCTTGATTTGCCGGGTGCACTCGACTGCATGGGCTTTTTGTTGGGATTGAGGGATTAACAGAGTTTATGGCATTTGAATTTTTCACCAATGGTCGGTGTTAAGTGTTTTGGCATAATTGACCTGTGTTACTATGAAATCATGACATTAGAGGCGGTACATAGAGCCAGTATCACAGATTTTCCATATTATTAGTGTTTAAAGGTGGGGTACATTTAGCTCTTTTTGTTTGAAGAATTTTGTTGGTGACAATGGGCAGAAGTACCTGTTATGATTATAAGCTCTTGTTAGTCTAAAGTTGTAAAAAATATTACAAATTTGTTTTCAGGTTGTGAAAGGTTGCGTCAGCTATTGACACTTCTCCCACTTCTAAGAAACGACAATGAGCGTGCTAAGAGTGTGTATGTTAATGCAGCACCAGTGCTGGTTCAGCGTTGTGTGGATGCACCAAGACGGAACTCTGCCACCCCAGAACTTTGTCGACAGCTTTTGTCATACTTGCTGGTGCATCCGGCTCTTATGCATCATGAGCAAAGGTAAAATGCTATTATTTTCAATTTTTTATGTACTTATCTGCAAAATGCCAATGGACATTTTCAAAGTTAAGGAGGACCTCCTTTGCTTAGCAGGTGGATTGGCAACTGAAACTATATATTTGGATTACGCATGGACTGCGGTCAAAGTACCTCATTGCTATTCCGAAGGTTTTGGATTCAACTATTCAAAGCCAACATTTGTACAAAAACGAAATATCAAATCATTTGATGGATAATGTATTTGGTAGAGCCACACTGCAGCTATTTTTTTGTTGTGGCAGGAATGGGTGTCTTGACTTGGGTAGGACCACACACTGATAGAATATCAGTGTAAAATAGCAGCTTAGTTCTGCTGTGTGTCAAATGGTGAGTGTTGCTTGACATGCCATGACGACGCATCTGCATTCTGATTCTAAATCAAAGATAAATATAGATGTCTATGGGCCACAGAATCCACTTACTATCAGGTGAACTGTTTACTCGTTTGTCACACTTATTCTATAAAAAAATTATGCTTTTCTCAAATATTTTTTATACTATTATTGCGTCTGCCCGAAATTTGACTATATATGGAAATACAAAATTATAACTCTTGTGTTTTTTTAATTTTGTATAATTGTGTCACTTTACCTTGCAAATGGTATAAGTTCCATTTCCTTATATGATAAATAATTAAAACACATATGACAATTTTCGATGTTCTTATTAATATCATAATTTATTTATTCAGAAACTTGTTGGTTTCACCATTTTCAGTTTGTAAATGCTCCAACATATTATGGAGGCTAACTAGAAAATTTACAAAAACTGCAGGTCTCTCGGTCTCTCTCATGGCAGTCTATGGGAAGGCTTATGTTCAGCAGTGGACCTTGATGGGCTGTAATGAATTAATCAAAATGCTTATTAAAAGTATAAAAATATTTTTGTTCTAATTTTATAATTATTGAGTGTGAGCACTTTTGTCTTCCTTGGCCGACATACTTGGGACAACAAGGGGAGGATGTCATCATCATAGTTATACTGCCAATTACCAAAAGTCATGGGATCTTTTAAACTTTTGCTATACTTGACTTTTATAATATCAGCGAGTCAAGATGAGATAGTGCAGTATCTCCCTTTTTTCTTCAAGGTTTTCACACTCCTATTACACTCAACATAGAAATTGGCCTTCAGCTTTAGCACAAAACTCAAAAGTAATTTTTCTTCCACCAGTTACAAATTAAAAAGTTTATTATGTCCAAGCATCTTTTGAATAATCATCTAATTTATAATAAACTTTTTACATTAGAATGCTTTTACCATGTAACTTAAATTTATGCTAAAGCAATTTGGTATTAATTTAAATTAACAACAAATCAGTTAATAATTTTTGTACGACTCTTAAAGAAATAATGTTTTAAAATCTGTAACAATATGCGGTTAAGGGTTCTTTATCCTCAAATAAATTTTCGGAAACGTCAGGAATTGTAAATAAGTGGAATTCATCATCATCATCATTACAGCCCTTCACAAGTCCACTGCTGAACCTCCCCCAAGTAACGCCACAAAGCACGGTCCTGAGCCACATGCATCCATCGACTTCCTGCATGTCTTACCAGGTACTCCATCTAGTGGAGGGTCGCCCTACACTACGCCTACCGGTACGAGGCTGCCACTCGAGAATCTTTCTTCCCCATCGGTTATCGGTTCATCGAGCTATATGGCCGGCCTATTGCCACTTCAGCTTACTAATCCGTTGGGCTATGTCGGTCACTCTGGTTTTACTGCGGATATCCTCATTTCTGAGTCTATCACGCAGAGAAACTCCGAGCATAGCCCTCTCCATAGCTCGCTGAGCGACCTTGAGCGTCCTCATACGGCCAGCAGTGAAGGACCACGTCTCTGATCCGTAAGTCATCACTGGCAACGCGCACTGGTTGTACACTTTAGTTTTCAGAGTTGAGGTATACCTGACGAGAAGATGTGTCGTAATTTCCCGAACGCTAACCAGCCGAGTTGAATCCGTCGATTGACCTCTCGGTCGAAGTTGGACTTACCTAGTCGGACTATTTGTCCCAGGTAAACGTACTCGTCAACAACTTCGAGCATAGTGCTCCCCACAACTACCGCCATAGGTGTAACATGGATATTGAACATAATCTTTGTTTTGTCCATGTTCATCTTAAGACCTATCCGTTGGGAGACACCATTGAGGTCATTGAGCATAGTGCTAAGGTCCTCCAGCGATTCTGCCATAAGGACTATATCGTCGGCGAAATCGAAGGTGAGTGATGTACTCGCCATTGATGTTAATACCGTATCCTTTCCAGTCCAGTAGCTTGAAAACGTCTTCCAACGCAGTGGTGAAGAGTTTCGGGGATATAACGTCACCCTGTCTTACACCTCTCTGCAGTTGGATAGGTTTCGAACTCTGGTTCTGTACTCGGATAGCCATCGTAGCCCTACTGTACAAACACTTCAGCACCTCGATATACCGACAGTCAACTTGGCACCGCTGAAGGGACTGTAGCACCGCCCAAATTTCGACGGAATCAAAGGCTTTCTCATAGTCCACATACGCCAGGCAAAGTGGCAGATTGTACTCCTCGGTCTTCTGTACAATCTGCCGCAGGGCATGTATGTGGTCTATGGTACTGAAGCCTTTTCGGAAACCGGCTTGTTCGGGAGGCTGGAAGTCGTCGAGTCTGCGTGCGAGACGATTCGTAATGACTCTCGAAAACAGCACGTAGACGCGGCTCAGAAGGGAAATCGGTCTGTAGTTCTTCAAGAGAGCGTTGTCGCCTTTCTTAAAGAACAAGACCACCGCACTTCTGCTCCACGCCTCCGGAGTAGTGCCACCATGGAGGACGGAATTGAAGAGCTTCTGAAGGACTTCAAGTAACGGTGTTCCACCCGCTTTCAGAAGCTCCGCTGTAATTCCATCCTCGCCTGGGGCCCTGCCGTTTTTAAGGTGCTGGAGAGCCGTTCTAATCTCGCTCAGACTGACGTCCGGGATATCATCGGAATAGTGTCGGGTAAGACTTGCTCTTGTATCGTTACTCACGCTTGCGTGTGGCTCCAACGATGATGTGTACAGCTGCCCATAGAACCTCTCAATCTCACTCAAAATCTCAGGTGTCCCGGAAACGATGCTGCCACACTCAGTCTTCAGCTTTGACAGTTGGCTCTTTCTGGCAGACAGATCTCTGGCAAAGACTTTAGAGCCCTGGTTCCGCTCGATCGCTTCTTTAATACGAGCAGTATTAAAGTTGCGTAAGTCTTGCCGCATGCATTTGGAGATCTGTCTGTTCAGTTGCCTGTATGCTGTCAAATCTGTTGACGATTGTAGCCTTAGTCTCTCCCAGTCTAACAGCCATGAGATTAAGAGTGTGATCGGAGAGTTTTTGTGTTCTTCTGCGGCGGGTCTTGCAGAACTTAGCTCTCTTTTGGTTTCAACCGCATGGACAGTTTCCACGAGCTTGTCATTCATATCGTCCACTGCATTGCAATCTTCTAGGCACTGAAAGCGGTTACGTAACTCGAGCTGAAAAGTCTCGGGATTCTGGATTGTGCTCGTCTCTGGTCGTGCTCTACGAGGGGGACGGAGCGTTGACTTCATTAGACGAGACCTCTCCAACTTAACGTTTAGGTTCAGTGTGCCTCTAACCTTTCGGTGATCGCTGCCGGTTTTCACCCTTGCGATCACTGAGACATCAATGAACAGTTGGCGTCTGGTCGTCATAATGAAGTCAATCTCATTTTTTGTCGAATCGTCAGGGCTCGACCAGGTCCACTTCCTGTGGGGCCGCTTCTGGAAGAAAGAGTTCATCATAAAGAGTCCCTCTTTATCCATAAAGTCAGCCAGCTGCTGGCCCCTACGGTTCCGTTGCCCTACTCCAAATTTCCCTAACTTCAGCTCACCGCCTTCTCTTGTGCCTAGTTTTGCGTTGAAGTCTCCCATCAACACCGTGTAGTGGGTTTTGGAGGAATGCATGGCTCTAGAAATATCCTCATACATTTCCTCCACCTCCTCATCGGGATGTGCCGAGGTTGGTGCGTAGACCTGTATGACCTTCAGCGAATACCGTTTGGTGATTCTGAGTATCAGGTACGCGACCCTCGACGACACACTCCCAATCTTTACAACGTTGTTGACGAGAGACTTGTGGACGATAAATCCGACACCTCCTTGGGCCAGATGGTCGCCCTCCCGGTGATAGAACAAGTTGCCGGACTCGAGGATTACCGTGTCCTCCCCCTCTCTTCGGACCTCAGATAATCCAATAATATGCCAGCGCAACTTGTCTACCTCTTCTTCCAGCTCCAGTATCTTCTCGTCAGTCCTCAGGGTTCGTGCGTTATACGTTGCCAGGTCGAGTCGTCGTAGGTGGCAACCGAACCTCCACCGGAGATTCTTAGCACCCCCTGCCCCGCCGTTACCATGGTGGTCACCGTAGCCAGGAATAGCGGGGCCGCCGGGGACTGGGGGCCGTTTATTTGTGTCGTTGCTCATGGGGGGATATTTGCCATAGTTGCCACGCTTGGCGAGCGGATTGGCAACCGCAGTTTTTTATTATGTTATTGTTAATAAGTGGAATTAAACATGACCAAATCTAATTTAAATCTAAGTTTTGTTTTCTTTTACAGGACACTAACACAGTGGTTACGCTACTTAGAAAATCACATCTCGGGCAACAGAAACACTGAATCCGTTTGGCAGCAACGGATAGATCCTTGTTTGTTACCCGAAACAAATATATGGGGCACTAATAACGCTTTCAGACGGACTATCGGCAAGAACGTCGAATTTAGAGGCATTTTAGATTCAACTGACCATATGTCATACACTGATCTTTTACAAGAATCTTTCTCCAAGAATGGCAGAGATGTGGATATAAGTTTAGATGGTGAAATGGTTAATTTTGACGCTGCAATTTCACAGCCCAAGGCCAGGTCGAATAGCCTAACACCTCCCTCATCGAATTTCATGCACATGTCATCATCTGCAGAGAACTTAAGTGATGAACCATTTGTCCAGAAACCTAGAAGTTTTTCACTATCCAGCGAGCACAGCTTAAGTCAAATTAGGCCAATTAGCATAATGTATGGTACAACGGGCAGTGAGACTAGATTAGATGACCTCAGGTCGAATAACTTTGCAGAACATCCCGGCATGTCAACGGTCGCTCAGTGGCTGAAAAGTTTAAGGCTTCACAAATATGTTTGGCTTTTCACAAACATAAGTTATGAGCAAATGATGGCCATAGATGAAAAGTATCTTGAGAAATTAGGTGAGAACATTTTTAAACTGTAAAAAAGTAAAAACTAAGTTAAGTTATTTAGATTTATTAGTATATATTATATAGATAGCAGTTTCTCAACTACAGAGTCAGTAATTCATTCATGGGGCAATATATACAATATAACAAAGTCCAAGAAAATGTACAAAGTCTATTACCAAGTTTGAATATTTTATTAAACAAAAACTATATATAAAGGGTTATTATAATATAAATGATAACCCCTGGGAATGAGGTTGTCACCTTCAAGCTATTTATTACATAAGTTTTATAAGTAGTTATAGCAATGCAATTTATTGTATAACATATTTTTTTTAGAAAGTCATGCTGGTTTTCTTGCTGGTTCTTCCCGGGACAGAAGTTTTCCCCGAAGTAGTGGTAAAAATTAAAAAAAATTACTTTTAATAAGAATTACTTGTAATCTGTATTAAATAAAAAAAAATCTACTCTAAAGCCTATATACGTCCTACTCCTGGGCACAGGCCTTCTCTCATTTTTGAGAGATTTTTATTTTATTTTATTGAATAAGGTATACAAACAGACAGTAGTTATATATAGTTCTAAAGTTAAAAGTATAAGGTGTTATCTAATCTGCAATCCAAAACACACAAACATAATAACGTAACTGCAGTAAAGACTTAGCTGTAGCAAAAATAAACAATGATGTAGATGTATGTTACCATGCTTAGTCTCATGGTAATGATGGCACATTTTGACAACAAGGTTGAAAAAGGAAGTATTACTCTTGTGCATGTCTAACCTAAAAATTCTTTGAACATGTTGTATAAGGAAATTGAAGTTAATTAGTCTTAATAACTCTGGGACATATGAGAATGCACAATCTTGTGCAAAAAAAAAAACTTAGTTTTATGGCAAGGAAGTGTTCTCGAAATATTTTTTTCATGCCAGTTTCCTCACGGTTTCGTTCACCGCCAAACACGTGGTATCTTGGAGATCGAGCCTGGGCTACTACAGCTCCATATTCGGCTTTGTACCTTAATAAAAAAATATGTATATGCAGTGTTTTACTAAAACAATAAAATAAATATTAATCTATTCAAATAAACACAAGTGATTCCTTGTTGGTTTGAACCACTGATAAAAACTTAATATGACTCAAGTATTCTTGTATTTTATATTGATTAAGCTTAATGGTTAAAACAGTAAGTAAAAAAAAACCCTTCTACTCTAAAAAATTTTCTTCAGTGAACTAATATGGTCTATGTCATCCCAACAATTAGACAAATCTAACAACTCCGCATATGTTAAAATCTATCAAGCCGTTTAAGCTACAGAACATGCCAAAAATAGACAAAAAATGTATATTTTTATACATATTATTATGTTTCCTGTATTTTCCTTAAATTCACTTTGCTATTTATTTAAGTTGTGGTTACTTATAATAGGATAAACACGTAGCATGTGGCCCTCGCAGTGTTGAGTTATATTTTTGTCTCGGTGTTGTGTGTCATCTGTTGGTGATTCAAATAAAAGGAAAAAGAACATTACCCTCTTTCTGGCGTAAAAAATTATTTTATCCTATTCTGATCGCAGGCGTGACGAAGGGCGCTCGGCACAAGATTCTGGTGTCCATCCGCAAGCTGGGCGAGCGCAGCGCGATGCTGGAGGCTGTACGCACGGAGCTAGCTGGTGGGGGGGGCGGCGGGAGGGGGGGGCCGTCTCCCGGGCACTGGAGCGGCTGCGAGCTCTGCTGCTCAGCCCCATGCCACCCGCTTCAGACCTGCCACCAGCCATCGTTGCTGCACTTGAACTCGGTAATGTTTTTGAAGTGAAATTTTAGAATCATTGTGATTTGAAACTATAAGAAGCGAAAAAACGACACAAAAAAAGAGAAAACCTATATGATTTTGCTCGCGAGATAATGAGATAGAAACTATGTATTATATCACTATACATAATATATTATAACACTATATATCTGTAGTTTTTCCTATTATCTTGGTCACCTCTTTGTGTGGTGTTTTAAAGATGGTTAGTATAACTTTTAAATGTTAAGTTATAATTGAAAAATTTATTAAATATATAATATTAACCACATTGAATAAAATTATCATATTCAATCCGTATATAATTCATAATAATCCATAATTTTGTAACTTGCCAAGTTATATTAAATTATTTGTGTTTTAAGTAATCTAGCGTACATTACTCCTACTCTAATACCTTGAGCGATGTTTGTGACGTCGTAGGGCGACACTGCATCTACATTATGGTTGTACCACAAATGGGTCAACTTGACAGGGAAGGACCATGCTTTCACAGAATGGCGCAAAATAGCAGCTTAATATTGTTCGTATGGTGAGTGTAGAGAACCATTTTACTGGAAAAGAGGTTCTTTTGTAGTTCGCGAACGATGAACAAAAAGAAAATGTATCTTAGCACTGTACTAGAAAAAACGTTTCCGATCGCTGATTGTTAATCATTTTAATAGCTCCTTTCGAACACCTACATTCGCAAAACGCCAGATCGCGTGTGCGAACGAAAACATACGAAAGAATATGAATGAGGGAATCGGTGAGAAACGTCTCTTCTAACTTATTTAACGAAAGAATAGACGTTTGCTAAATCAATGCAATAACGTCTATATTAGCTTATCATCCGAAAAGATGCAAATCATTGTACTTATTATAATTAATAAATAAATACAAAGAAACATTTGATAGACTTCGTTTCGGCACTTGCGGTCGCGTAAAAATTTAATAAAGTTGAAGTTTTGTTATAAATATAACAACTTAGGAGGAGAGTTTTATGTTTTTAATATTGTTTTAATATTTGTTTCATCCTTTGATGCTTTTTTTTCGCATGCTATGGTTATGGGATTTTATTTCACTAATGCTAATTATTTTTTCAATACTAATTTGCTTTAGACTTATACGTAATTTAACCAAGAAATTATTAAAAGTGTGTGTGTGTGTGTGTGTGTGTGTGTGTGTGTGTACGAGTAATCAAACATTACGACTCGAGCAGTATCGACCTACTGAGATAGCCCTTCCATACATACAGATACAGTTTAAACTGCTTAGTAGTTCTGATTCTATTGACACACAAATAGAACTAATAAAACAAACTAGTTCACTGTCCGAAATGAACTAGTACGGGGTGATCTTTATAATGATCGAACAGGCACAAGACCATTAATCGAGGATAGATGTAGTTGTCTATGGGCCACAGGATCCACTTACCATCGGGTAGGCTGTGTGCTCTTTTGTCATCCCTATCCTATAAAAATCAAAACTCACCACCAGATGGGATGTTCACTATATTCACTAGCACTGGCTTGACACTATGATACTTATGAATAAAATATTTCCTTGCAGCGTCAAAGTGTTTGACCAACGCCACTGCGAGCGGGACAGCAGACAACGAGCCTGATCATGTGGACCCCATGTCGTTGCATTGCTGGCTTATTGAGAAGGTATTTGTTTGATAATAGTTACCTACTTTCACTTCCTTTGAGCCATAGTAGTGGAGAAGCTAAGCGCTCGCTCTAAATATCGCATAAGTGTGAACAAGTAGGGTTTATTGCAGTAAGGTAGGTAGGGTTTATATTTTTTTTTTCATTTAATGAAATTGGCCACAAACAGGTTTATATTAAGTGATACATAACGAGATATCTTTTAAAAGTCCGGCATTGATGTTTTTGACCCAAGATCCAAGACATTCAAAAAAGTATTAAAACACACCTTTCACCTTACAATGAAGAGTGTATATAACACTCTTCATTGTAAGGTGAAAGTGGTTGTTGTTTGACATGACTATGAGAAATGCCAGAAAAATATAATGGCTTCAGATAGATGGCGATATAACCATCTTGTTTACACCAGACCTAAAATACCCTGACTGGTGACGGGCAACAGCATCATAAATACTCACTTTTGGTACTGCAATTGTCAAAGCCAAGCCAAGCGTGGCAATCAAGGGGAATCTTCACTACAACAGGAAAGGGCCATATCAAAGAGTAGACTTCTTCGAGCTGATGATGAAGAAGAAATGGATATTTGTCATTTGTAAATATTTATCAATTTATTTTATTCATCCCTTTTCGGGGGGGGGCCTCGTTGCCGGGTGCGGTTGGGGGGTTTTTTTTTTAAGCGCTTTTTTTTTAGTTCTATTAATAAGAACATATTTTTTTTCTTTTCTCCACCCTAAAAAAAGGGGGGGGGCCCCCCTTTTTTTTTGGAGCCCTCTCGAATACCAGTGTAAATTATTTGTGTTTCGTATGGTGAGTGTAGAGAACCGGAGAGTCTATTTACTGGAAATGAGGCATTCCATCTTAGTCCTCATGGATGCCAACACATCAGCATTTTGATTCATAATTGAAGATGAATGTAGATGTCTATGGGCCACAACATCCACTTACCACCAGGTGGACTGTGTGCTCGTTTGTCACCCTTATTCTATAAAAAAAGTAGACCGGTTCATATCACCATGATAGTCACCAGTCTTAGCATCGGATTTAAATATTGGCAATGCATCTTGGAACCGGTCCATGCCGACATCCAGTGTGAAGAATTATTAAACGCTGGCCTTTCCCAATATCTTTGTAAATGCATGGATCTGGCAGAGATTTCCAACATTTACCGACATTGTGACTTGCATTAACATATGTCTCGTTTAGGAAATATATGTTGCGGTTTAGGGCTCTGTAATTTCTAATTTTAGTGAAATACCTGGCTGGCCACTCTGTAATATTAGGCTGTTCTATAACGATAAATCTTTTTGATTTTACATTTTTTGTAATGATAACCAATTTTGTGTAAAAGGTTTCTAAGAGATATTCTTGTTCACAATAAAAAACGACATCTTTTCTCAATCTTGTCAGTAACTGACGAACATTTGGTACTTTTTTTTCGGCTTCGTAAAACTGGTGGATTTTTCTTCTCATAACTCCTCAAATTCAACAACATGTTTTTCACAATCATTTTTTTTGGCGCATCAAATTTAAATCGGCTCGAATTTTCAGTTGATGAATTTCCATGTTTTATCACATTTTTTTAGTTTTCGTAGTACCCTATAACCTCTTCCACGATTTTGACGACATTCGCTTCACTTTTATATTCAAAACTTACTTTGACTGCTTTTTTTAAAATATTCGGTCACTTTATAAATGACGGTTATGATATCACGAGATAAAGCACGATCCATCTCTGGATATTTTATCTCAAGTGCGTATGATAGCACAGCCCGGTGAAAATAACACGAGTTGCTGTCGAGAGCGGCATCGACGGAATAACAGAGTGGAGCGGCCTGCTCTGCTCTCCTGTCTCACAGCTACCTGATGGTCGGTACACACTACAACGATTTATCATTGCAAAATGACTGCGCAGACCATTTGTGCAGTTTTATCGAACGTGTGTACAAAAATCGGCGCAGATTTTTTGGCTGGTGCTAGCCATCGGGGCTAGGTTCAAAATCTATTCGATAAATCGTTGTCGATCGCGTTTGCATAGTTTTATCGTAGTGTGTGTACGGAAGTCGGACCAATCATTCAGTTCGTTCGCAAGGCTTGGTGTAGGCGGACGCGTCCGCGCACGTTAAAATATGTCGGAAGATTGTAGCGGAATCCGTGAGTTATTGAAAGAGTTTATCCAGTGCTATAAGAATGAAGTTTGTTTGTGGAGTAAGAAAACTAAAGATTATCACGACTGCAACAAGAATAATGCTGCGTACGATAAACTAATTATTAAGTACAAACCTTTTGATCCTAATACCAATAGGGAGATGGTAGTAAAGAAAATAAATATCCTGCGGACTTCTTACAAGAAGGAACTCAACAAAGCCAAAAAGTCTTTAAAATCCGGAGCCGGAACCGATGAAGTCTATGTTTCTCGTTTGTGGTACTTCGACTTGATGAATTTTTTATATGATGAAGAAATACCAAGGCAGTCTATATCACAAATATGGAGGAAGAAAATGAGGTAAGACTTTATAATTGATTTATTATTATTCATTAAATATTAGTTATTGCTTAGGTAGACGTCTTATATATTATTTTAATTTATTTACACGGAAGTATGCGTTATGTCATGTGTAGGTATGTTAAGTAAGTACCTACTCGCACCTAGTAATTTATTAAGTAAAAATTTTGAAGTATTTTTCATAAATTAATTGCTAATTTTTTATTTTTATTTAGTTGTTTATTTTTCAAGTGTATGTATGTTTACGTGAAGTGAAGAAGTGACAGACAGACGGACACACTTTCACATTTATTTTTTGGGTATGATTAAAAGTAGAATAAATAAACGAAACGACATTTTTGTATTTTATATATTAAGATGATTTTGAAGGAAGAAATACAGCTTGTAGCCATATTCAATACGTTTAATATATACCTAATTTAATGTATAAAATTATCTTGCCAGGGGACTTTTCCCTCGTTCACAAAATGACTCATAAATTCTTATTTGTTTTGCTGTTCTCTCAGAATCTCCTTGACGAGTATGTTGTGATGGTTCAAGAGTTGATCTTCTTGTTGTAAGTCCTGACGACGTTGTACCCTCTTCAAAGTTTTCTCTATCAAAAGAATCTGACGAAGCGTATGAAGACAATGATGTCATTAAATAGTTGTGCAAAACACAAGTTGCTCTAACAAGTGACTATGTTTTTAGTTGACATATTAATTAGTGTTCTGTAAATTCTAACTAAATCTTGCTGCTAGTATGCCAAATGCGTTTTCAATTCAACTATGCGGCGTGCTCGTGATGTTCGGTAATTGTAAATCTTCTTCGCTCTACTATCCAAATCATTTTGTCGAAATGTTTCATCATATTTTTGTAAGAGGAAACGCGTCGTCAGCTACGAAAATATACGGCAGCGTTCGTGAACTGTCACTCTATGTCTCTTGTTCAGGAATGTTTAAATCATTATTTTCCAACTTTTCGTAAAACTTCGTATTCAAGAACACTCCTCAATCAGATACTCTGCCATTTGTACCAAAATCAAACAGCAAGAATTTGTATTTTGCATCAACAATTGCCATGATGACCGTACTATATTTTATTATATTTTTGTAGTTGAAATAATAAGAACCACTGTTATGTGGAGGCACGATTTCAACGTGCTTGCCATCAATGGCACCTAAACAGTGAGGGAAGTTCCATCGTTCATGGAATACCCGTGCTATTGTTTTCCATTCACTTTCTGTTTGTGGTACCTGAAACAAAAATAGTAGATTCCTTATTAACTTTTATATATTCATAATATATACAATATCCTTTTTTGCACATAAGAAAAAGACAAAGATACAGAGAGAGCATAAACAAATAAAAAAATTACGAAAGGCGGCCTAGTATATGTTCAAGTGTTGATTATTTAATCTATAAAATGAATAATTTATTTACTATTGCCTTGCCTATTGACTAAGAGAAACCCTGTACTTCTTTTTTACAGGAACACTTCTCATCGCAATACAACGATTCTAACGTCGAACGGGCTGATCCGATGTCAAAAGAGATACACCAACCCCAGGCCGATCTGATGTCGAAAGAGATACACCCACACCAGGCCGATTTGATGTCGAAGAGATACAAGGGAGAGATACACCCACACCAGGCCGATCTGATGTCGAAAGAGATACACCCACACCAGGCCGATTTGATGTCGAAAGAGATACACCAACCCCAGGCCGATTTGATGTCGAAAGAGATACATCAACCGCAGGCCGATCTGATGTTGAAAGAGATACACCAACCCCAGGCCGATCTGATGTCGAAAGAGATACACCCACACCAGGCCGATCTGAGTGAGAGTCCCTGTCGAAAGAGATACACCAACCCCAGGCCGATCTGATGTCAAAAGAGATACACCAACCCCAGGCCGATCTGATGTCGAAAGAGATACACCAACCCCAGGTGGATCTGATGTCGAAAGAAATACACCCACACCAGGCCGATCTGATATCGAAAGAGATACACTAACCCCAGGCCGATCTTATGTCGAAATAGATACACCAACCCCAGGCCGATCTGATGTCGAAAGAGATACACCAGCACCAGGCCGATCTGATGTCTGATTCTGAAAGAGGCATGCAAAGACCAAATCATTCAAAAACCACGAAGAATACGTATGAAGAGGCACTTCGAAGTGTTCGAAGGTTTACGGAAAATCGTTTTGGAGTATATGGACGAATATAGGCATGAAATTACAAGAATTACCAAAACGGCAGAGAATCATATCAAAAAATTATTAATGAGACATTGTTCTTAGCCGAAATGGGTGATTTAACTACCTCACATACTGTCAAATCCAGAGACTTTATTAACACATTTTTTCCTCTCAGCAAGACATTCAAACATCATCTAATCAACTATGCACTAAAACCTTTTCATCTAATCATCTAAACGTTCAAACTGTCTCCAATCAGCCACACACCGTATCATCTAATCAACTATACGCCGAAACCTTTTCCACTCAGCC